ATATATATATATATATATTCTATAAAAAACTAAACAGAATCATTTAAAATTCTTATCATGAAAAATCAGCGCATCAATTATAAAGACAAAGTCTACACAGTGATTCAAATTAAAAATGTAATGCATGTTATATACTTTTTGGTATCAGATGAACAGAACCCACAGTAAAGCAGGGGTGTTGTCGCTAGCATGACATTAAAGCCTGATGGTGTTTACCTTGAGGACCAGGTGTTTGAGCTCCTCGTCGGGGAGGAATGAAGGCTTGTAGCTGGCTTCAGAAAAAGAACTTGTTGAACCTGAAAACATGGAAATAATTGTTACACGGCCAGTTCAAAGGCGAGATTACTATACAACAGTTCGGCATTAGGTATAACTTTATTACAACAGTCAAGTCTAAGAACTTGAACCGGTTTAATTTTACCCAAACTAGCTGAATCGGCATCTGTCATTATGACATATTTTGGCAAATTAAAAAGTTGCCAATATTAGCAACCTGTGCAGACGACGTCACGGCGCTAAATCGACTTATACTGTCTGCATTAATAATAAGCAAAACGACAATGTGATTGCCATGATATTATGTTTGTTTATAAACGGACTAACCGAGTGTTTCCATACATATACCTAAAACGGTGACGCAAAGCTGACACACCATCCTCGGCTTATACACAACACTCACTCTCTCTCTCGCTGTAGAAGCGGACCAGGCTTGTTGTGCTAACCTCAGGCACATGTTGCTTACAGTTTTCGGCGCTACTGTAAACGTTTCTGGACTCTGAAATAGAGCTTTTAGCAAAGCAGAGCGGAAAGCCGCTTTTGGGCTGCTTCTGAAATGCGCCCGTCTGGTCAACATGTTGTAATGTTTTGGCTGACTTGGATATTCAGCCAAGGGAAGGCTGCTCGCATCTACACCAAGAGACACAACAAAGTAATTAAAAATGTCCTCATATGTGATTTCAGGCCATTTTCATGTTTCATCTTCCTAGTCGCTGATGGATGTGGTACTTTAAAACCATCTGATTGCCGCTTTGTAGCTGCTGAATGTTCCCAAATATCAACATTGTCTAAACCGCTATAAGCGCTCAACTGGAACAAACACAAATTCATTCGAACCAGAAGGGAAAAAAATAGGCAGGGCAGCATAAGGTGAATATAGTATGCACAGGGGACTTCACTTTTTTACAATAACCGACATTTATCATCAGCACTGATGGGACAATCCACATAAAAACAAATGTAAAACATTCTTGGTACCTTTGAGAGATTTGAAGTGCTGCACTGCCATTCTGAGCACAGTGAGTTTGTCCAGTTTACGGGACATGGGGTTACAAGAAGGGATCATGGCTGACAGTTTGTCAATGAGATTGTTCATTTTGTCCCGTCTCCTTTTCTCAATTTGGCTATGCGGCTCTCTGCAGAAACATTAAATAAGAAATAATTCAGACAATTAATAATGTCTCCTTTCAATTCACAGACTATCTTAACCTGTGAAATATTGCATGATATTATATAAATACATATAAAGATATCATCTTTTAAGATTGATGATAATATTAGAAGAACATGGGAATGTTATAAATGTGATGTGTCAAATTGAACCGACCTGAAGCATTTCATTTTGCCATGTCGGTCCTCTCCATCTGACCTGTAGCGCAGAAAAACACACATTTGAAATGTATTTGAAGAAGAAAAGCCCAAAATAAACAGGTCAGCTCTGAAACCCTTATATTAGCACACAGTACCCGTTTTGCTCATCTTCCATATCCATAGAAACAGATTTTGTATCCCTAGGAAGAGAATTCATCAATGGCAACTTGCAACAATTTAGGTCACCTGATTCAAGAGATTTTCTGTGAGCCAAAATAAAGCAATCGCACTACTTACTGGTTGTCCATGCAGCCCTTGCGCTTCCGGGGCATCTCCGTGCTAAAGGACATATCAACAGCTGAGGATGGGGTCATCGCGCTGGGCAAAGAAACAGAACTTTGGTTTTCTTTAACCAGCACCTCTTCTGAAACACACAAGACACAATGAACTGTAGGACTCCATTTGATTTGCAAGTAAATGTGCAACAATCCTTCCTTCTTATAACTACCATCAAAGCACCCTTGGGGGGAAAGTAGGGAATTCTAATCAGCTTATTGAGCCCAAGCACACATGACCAGCAATCCCATGGACATAACTTGTTGTTCTGGTATAGCCGTGTAACATCCCGTTGCTCTGCAAAAGAGGTGGGGTTAAAGTTCATGGCCGTCATCACTGCAATGTTTTTCAGGTGAAAGTGACAGGAGTGCATACAGTGTGTGTTCCAAGCTGTGTTCAAAAACTGTTTTCAGTTGCTCGTCTCGTAGCAATTGTTTGGTTGAGCGAGAGAGTGAGCTTCTCACACGTTTTTTTATGCTTCAAGTCCATTTTTGTTGCATTTAGCGAAGCGTAACTTGCATTGACAGCTTTTTAAACACCGATATTGGCTCTATATAATGTATTTTGCATAAGATTTCTTAAGGTATTATTTAACTATATGCAAGTTTTCTGTGTGCATACTTTTAAATCTCGTTCATGTTATGTCCCTGTCCCCCATCACATGAGATATGAAGCCTAATGCTGCATTGCATTTGAACTGTTAAGTCAGAGTTTCAGAGTAACCAATCGGAAATTTCAACTGAAACAAAGCCTGAAGTCAGATATCCGACTCAGAAGGTCAGAAAAACCAGACCTCAAAATCCAAGAACACTGCTCCGCACATCAACAGTAACAAAGCTGTAGTAATAGGCTGTTTATTAGCACTTCTTACTTGTGTCTCATAAATCAGTCATACATACAGTACTGTCCAACTCCCACCGGTGTAATGCGTTATCAACTGACATTGCAGCTCTACTGCCTCCCTTACTGCAGCCTAGTGTATATTCTGATTAATGTGGAGCTGCCGCGACTGTGATTTAGTCATGGCCGCAGACGAATGGTTGGGAGAGAAACTCGAGAGAACGGCACAAGACGGACCAAATACAGCTGATACCAATGGCACCTATTTTCTCTGCTCTACAGACCCTGTGACCCAAATAGCCATTAACAGATCAGCAACAACCTGATTTTTAATCCCCCCTTCCCCTGTCAAGATCTGTTGGATTAGATGGTTAAGATTTGTTTACACTCGCGCTTGGTGCTGTAGCGCGAGCCTCCGCAGACGGCGCGTGAGCTCCGAGCATGAACGGAAGCATTTATACTCTATGCGCTGCAATACGTACAAACAAAATGAACAGTGAGGAATCAAAAAGACAACGAGTGTAACCCATAGATATGCCCATAGACTGTTGGTGTAACCGACCAAAAGCCATAAATCCACCTCCACAATGCCGAGGAGGGATTGTAATTATCTGTAAATAAACAAGTCAAGTAGTATTAGAACGAGAAGAAGGTTGAATATCCTGTAACAATTTGATTTGGCTCCTCCTGTTTCTAAAGCATCTCAAAACGTATTGGCCTGTTTTGTATAATCACATAACATGTAAGTGTTTTTACCAGTGAACTATTTGAGACAGTCACGTGATCGTGCGCACCACAACCACTTGCGGAGCCTACATGCCTCACAAGCCTTCACTACGGCGAGTATAAACTGAGCTTTACTGTGAAGGCAACTAGATGGCTGGACATCCCTCTGCCAACTCCCACCCATAATCCTTCTCTCCTGTTCTCACGTGTTAATTAACTTGCTGCACTTGAATACTTGAATAAACCCATGAGCTGCATGTGTCACACAGTAACAGCATGACAAGAAAAAGGCTGATTTTTCTTTGAACCATGTTCAAATTTCAAGTTGAACATATATATATATATATATATCATATATATATCATGTATATATCATATATATATA